TGTGGTAGCACGCGCCTGTAGTTCCAGCTACTTGGAAGGCTGAGGCAGAAGGAATACCGGAGCAGGTCGAGGCTGCGGTGGCCGGGAGCGGCCACTGCACTCCAGTCTGAGTGACAGAGTGAGACTGCAACTCAACGAAAAAAAAAAAATATTTGGCAGTGTTTGACATATTTTTGCCAACACAGTAGAGCTCATGGAGAGGGTGGGTAGCTCCACTGCACCAGGGAAAAGAAAGGGCCTTTACTCAAATGTGTGGACTTTTGGAAGCCAAATTTTCTTCTTTAAGATTACCTTTATTTTAAATGGGAACTCAATGGGGTCACAGCACAATGCCAGAATTACCAAAGCTGAGGAACATAAGATTTCAGGTAGGATGGCAATGTCTCATTTCTAAAAAGAAAAAGATCTCACCATGGCACTAAACACATGATTACTATTATTATTATCTGAGTCAAGGTCTCACTCTTGTCCAGTGGCACAATCTCGGCTCACTGCAGCCTCTAACTATAGGGCTCAAGCAATCTTCCTGCATCAGACTCCTGAGTAGTTAGGACTACTGGCACACACCAAGATACCTGGCTAATTTTCTTTTAATTTTTTTGTCTTGCTATATTGCCCAAGCTGGTCTCCAACTCTGGGGCTCAAGCAATCCTCTTGCCTTAGCCTCTCAAAGTGGTGAGATTACAGGCATGAGCCACTGTGCCTGGCCACATCTTATGATTAAGACGTAAGTGGAGGGGTAAGAGAGGCAACCCCAGTAATAACCAAGTATTGATCTGAAGAGTTACTAAATAGTTTCAGTGTCCCCTAGGCTAGGGCTCAATGGTATCAACATTCATCCTTGGAGTCTGCATTTTTAATGGAAAACTACTCTAAAAGGTGGTGCTGAAAGCAGAAAGGCCAAACCTCCCCTTGTAGTTGCATGTTCTTTCCCAAGCTCATTTGCACTTTAGTGGTTTTGCTTTGCTTGGCCTTTTACAACTTGGCAGTTCAGGAAGTAAAAATGAGGGACTCAGCAGATTGTTAAAAATTTTTTTACTCCACATGTTCCTTTAATGCTGGTATTTCTTGGACAGGGATTCCGGATGTCCTAATTAATTGTTTTTGGTGTTTCTTTAAAAGCATCTCTTAGCATTTGTGAATCAGCCCGTGACTTTTGCTTTTGATTTGCACTTGCTGATATTTTCCTTTCATGTAGGAGAGGTACTTCTCCGTGGCCAAGTGAAATGGAAGTACATTTGGAGACTCACCCTTGAAAGTTGCTGAGTTTGGTGGCAACTTTGGGGTGGTGGCCTTAAGAAATGTCAACTGGCAAGAAAAAAAGGAAAAAAAATAGTGCTGTTCTGTGTTTCCTGCTCCCCTTTGTGAGATCTGACTTTTAAAAATCCTTTGTTACTTCACAATACATTTTCAACTGCATTTGAAGTAATTAACACCCGGAATAGAATTCTTTTGTCACATTTAATTATCAGATATCTACTTTCCTTTGGGATATCTGACAGCTGCCCAAAATGTTGGTCTTAATCTGCAACCAAGAAGAGACCTCTGACACAGTGAAAGCCACCAAAGTGGCATTTATAAAATATAAATGGTAAATGTCCAAAGGAGAGGTGAGGAAAGAGCATTGGCTCTCATCCAGAAAATGAAAGAAAATCCTTCCAGTATGAAGGGAAACCATATAAGCTCTTAGCTGAGGCTCCATCAGTTTTATTTGGCATGTGATGATTTAAAGATGTGTGCATTCCTATACAGCATTACATTTGCATTGAGAAAGAAAATGAGTATGGGGACCTTCAAGTTCTAGCTCCAATCTGCCAAACTCACTATAAATACAAGAGTTTCTATTAGTCTATTATCTGGAAAGTAACTTGTGTACAGAAAAATAATTAAATGATATTGATTTAAAATGAAGAAAACTCATTTAAGTGCATTTTAGGAACCCTAAGTGAATCAGCTAAATATATTCAATGAGAAAAAAAATGATACCCTCTGGGTAGTATCTTGTAATAAGCTGCAAACGTGAAACCCATTAATAGTATTAGAAATTAGATGCCTAATGAATTGTGCCCATTATTGGAGATTTCTGTGACAACAGTTCCTTAAAGGCTAGAGATTGCCTGTATCTCTATGACATAAGAGAAAAGACACTATTAAAGCTATTGAAAATTATCTCCAAGTAAAAGCATATTTCACATGGTTAAAGAAACATAGGCCAAGTTCTGGTACTTACTACGTAAGGACTATGGCCACTGCGTCATTCAACACACTCTCCCCAAACAAGAGCGTGTACAGGTCAGGGTCGACGTGTAGTTCATGGAAAATGGCCAGCACCGTCACTAGGAAGACACACACAAATGTGCAGAGTTAGCTGGGATGCAGGCGTGGAGTTTTGCTGGGTTGTGGTCACCTCTGAAAAGCATTCATTAAGCGCTGATCTTCTCAAATTCATCCTCTATACCAACACCAGAATTTTGGTTTTTTAAAAAAACTTCCGATTATGTCTGTCACTTGTTTAGAGATTTATCTTGCCCCCGCCCCACTGCTTTTGGAGAAAATTTGAGCTCCTGGTACAACCTGCACCCTGCTTACCTTCCAGCAACTTTCCCTCAGACCCCTTGCCCACCCTTTGTTGTCTCTCTTAAGCCACACTAAATTTGTCATAATTTCTCAAACATACTATGTAGTTTCTAATTACCTTTGCATTTTTATTCCTTCTACCAGGGCAGAAATTTCCTTTTCATCTACCTGCAACCTTGACCTCATTTCTTAAACACACACACACACACACAGACACACACACACACGTGCGTATACTTCCTGCTACCAAAGATGCCAATGCCTTTTTTCATTTCATAAGAATCCCTCAAGCATCCCCTTCTTACTCTTTGACTTCCTCATCAGAGACCTGGCTCACTCATTATGAATCACAGCATTTGGACCAAATCACAGAAGGGACCATGCTCTTTCTAGGGATGAAGCCCATCTTTAGACCACATGGTATTAGACCACACTCAAGAACTGCTTAATGTAAAAACGACTATGTGAATGAGTGAATGAATGAATGCTATCTCAGTGGCCTACTCCTGTGAAGGAATAAGGGGTTGCACCTGGCTGTCATTCTCCGAGATCACACTCCTCTATAAAGACGGACTCAGCATTCCTAACAGCAGGATATGAGGACTTGTTTCCGGACCTTGCCATAGACTTGCATTGAACATCTGTGAGGACATCAGGACAGTAACTAATCACACACTCATTATCTGTGTTCATCAAAACTATTCAGTGTCTTGATATTCAAAACAGTTAGGCAAAGTGTGAACAGCGATCATTAGGAAAATGATCCATTGAATTGATTGCCAAGGGAGAAAGAGAGGTTGAAATGATAGCGACGGTAAATTTTTAAGGCAGGGTGGGTATTTTAATTCTGTTCTTTTGTTTCCTATTTTATGGGCAGTGAGGTTACTAACTGTGTTTTATAAAAGAGTGCTATTGAGGAAAAAAAAAAGTCCAGTTGAGTTTCAAGGTTTTAAGGTAGGATCAAGAGGTTTGGAGCTTGTCCTAATAGGGAGTCATGGAAGAGTATAAATAAGAGAGGTGATACAGTCTGATGTGAACTTTGGAAATTAAGCTCAGGCAGCAGGGCACAGGGCAGAATGGACGCATGGCTGGAGGCTTTCCCAATAATTCCAGTAAGAGATGAGTTGCTCCAGGACAGGAAGAGGCCTGGATTCAGGTTCCCAAACTCCTGCACTTCCTGCTCTGCCTGCACATCCACCACCCTGGTGAACCAAGGACTACCAAGCTTTGTACTGTACTTATTCACTGGTTCTCCTCTTCCCTGTGTGCCACTGGCCCTTTGCTGCAACATAGTAAGCTGTTAACAAGTGAATGAACAAGAGACAATGTGAGAATGGAGCAGAGGTGACTTGCAACCCCAAGACTTGGAATGGAAAACTGGTGGGTCTTGTTGCTTGAGAAACATCAAGGAAGGACTCTGGACTTTGATCTGCTGTACCACATGGTGACTATATTTAAGAATAGTGTGTATTATACACTTAAACATTAGTAAGAGAGATGTTACATGCTCTCACTCTAAATAAATGAGAAGCATGGGAGGTAACGCTTATGTTAATTATCTTGACTTATCTATTCCATAAGTTATACAAATTTTAAGACGTTATGATATACACCATAAATATAGACAATTTTTATTTGTCATTTAGAAAAATAAATACTTTTTTAAAGAAACTACTGTAAGAATGCAAATAAATAAATAATATGTCATGAATTGACAGGATAATTGGTCAGATCTCATTGATTCCATTTTACTAGGTACAGAATCAATTTCATTATGCTAGCTGAATAGTTTCTCTTAATCATGACAGGTAAAAGGGCAGAGATCTACTTTCTACTAGTATATAGCCACTAACAGTTGCCACAACCCTTAGCCTTTGCAAGTGGCAGGAAGGGCTGAGCAATTACTTCTGCTAAGTAATCTCTTTTTGGGATAGAGTCAAGACCCTGCATCTAACCAAAACAAAGAGGTTACAGTTAGGGGGTTTAGTTAACAGCATTTTCCTTTTGCTACAATCTTGTGGAATAAAAGTGAAGTTATTCTTTACTAGAAAATTCTACCATGGCAGCTCCATCATTGACTTTAGTCTCTGTCGCTGTTTATTTGTATTACCAAGCTCTGAGGATGACTTGCAGCTCATTTCCATTCCCAAAGAGGTTTTCTAGGCTCATAGACAGGGATATAAGGCCCTGGGTTTCTTTCTCTACTTCTCAGTTATGGAGTCCACTCCGTCCTATGGGGAAGAATTCTGTGTCTTTCCAATGAAAGCTCTGAGCTTTTGAGAGGAAAGGCTTTTAATTGAATATCCAATTTTGTTCAAAACGGCTCTGACATTCCCACAATTCCTTCTGAACAAAGAACTGAACTCTATTTCATAAACGGTACCCCACACAAAAGAGAAACCTATTACTTTGCACATTCCTATCTACCCTGTGAAGAAATGGAACAACTTTGAAATAAAGCCAGGCAGTGTGTCCTACAAGAGGGAGTATTGTGCGGGGACTACAAATGAGTCGAATAGGTGAGTCAGGAAATTAGCCACCCACTCTGCTGCTGAGCTTGGAGCTCTGAAAAAACTTATTTAATTAGCTCGCTAGCAGGGCTCAATCCTAGACACAATGTCCGACTCTCTGCAGTACCTCCCAGAAAAGAGTCTTTGGGACAGCGTGGACACGTTCATACCAGATCTGCTCACTCCTTGATAGGTAGGTTTCAAAGGACAACCCCAACCAGAAGCTGGACTAAAGATGACGTCCATCTAGATGAGTCTTCTTGGGACTGCACGAAAACACTCTAGACATCACCAAGATGGGAAAGGGAGAAGATGCAGCTGGATTTCTTTTCTTTTTTTTTTTTACTGTAGAGATGAGGTCTCGCCAAGTTGCCCAGGCTGGTCTCAAACCCGTGGGCTCAGACAGTTCCTCGCTTTGGCCTCCCAAAGTGCTGGGATTACAGGCTGAGCTATTGAGCCCGGCCTGGATATCTTAAATCTGTGATTTTATCAAGGAATTTGGTCATTTTGCCTTTACCCTACTTTAGTTCCACTGATCTTTCAGTGACAGGTTCCACTGTTTCACTTGTGGCATGCAATTCTTTCTATTCTGTACAACTTCTTTTTACTTGACATTTTAGCTAGAAAAAAATCTACCTTCCCTCTCAAATTGGCAATAAGGAATGCAAGTGCATATGATGTTATGCTCAAATCGATGAACACACACACACAGAAGCACCCTACCTCTAAGGTAAGGGTGGTAGTATAGCGTGATAACTGAGAAATGTCACTGAATCCTTGGAGATCCCTGAGAAAATAGTTTCAGCAGTCAAGCAGCAAGAGGTTTTATGGGGGTGGGTGAGGGGTCTGGTGCAGATTGTACTTCTGAGAGGCTGGTGATCAGGGATAGAAAGAGAAAAAGTCATAGCCTATGGGGGGAAAAGCCAAGTGAGGCTTTCATGTAGAATTCTTTTTTTTTTTTTTTTTTTTTGAGTTGGAGTCTCACTCTGTCGCCCAGACTGGAGTGGCTGCTCCCGGCCGCCGCAGCCTCGACCTGCTGGGCTCCAGCAATCCTTCAGCTTCAGCCTTCCAAGTAGCTGGAACTACAGGCATGTGCTACCATGCCTGGCTAATTTTTGATTTATTGTAGAGATGAGGTCTCACCAAGTTGCCCAGGCAGGTCTCCAACCCGCGGGCTCAGGCAATCCACTCATCTCGGCCTCCCAAAGTGCGGTATTACAGGCTGAGCCACAGAGCCCGGCCTCACGTAGACTTCTAATGTATGAGCTGAGCAGAAAAACCCAGCAGAAGGAGTGGTTGAAGACAGAGAAAAAAGAAGAGAAATCTGCTGCAGCAAGGTCTGGAGAAGGCAGAGGACAACTGAGGGGCCCCAGGGGAGTGTGTCTTCCCAGGAAAGCAAGATCATTTGCTAAGAGTCAGGAGAGCAATGCCTGAGTTGGAGGCTAGGGAACGGTTGAAAATGTGCAGATCATCTGAGAAACAGGAGGGTTGAATTCAAGTTTCATAACAAACTGTTAAGGTCCAATAAAGAATAATTCTAAGTCAATATCCACCTGCCGGGGGGGGGGGCACACCTCATCAATAAGGGTACCAGCACAATGAACATTTGTATACCTAACCCTGAATTGTACCCCACAATTTCAAAATAAAAATTAAAAGAGGGGAAAAAAAGAATAATTCTAAATCTGCAAAAGAAAAACTCAAACACTCAAATAATCCAATATTTTGATTAATTTCTTCTTCCTATCAGGGGTTTTATTCACTACTACAAACCTCTTATAATATCAAAACAAATCTTTTTTCATCTCCACGGTAATAACCATACCTGGAGATAAAAATACAGGTAACAACTGCCTGACCCCATCAGTATCTCACTGTCTTGGCTCTTAAAGGTGTTTTGCACTTTCGTTAAACTGCCTCCCTTGTAACTGATCATTTTCTTGACGCTCTTTCAGTAACCTCTAAGTCTTTAGGGTGATTTAGTGACAGCCCTTCCCTGGAATCTCCATTAGCAGCTCTGTGACCCATATTTCCTAAGTGTCTTACAAGGAATTTAAATTTCAAATAATATTTTAATGTGGCAGCCCTCAGCAACCTTGCACTGAATCTGCCTGGGTGGAAGGACAACAAGATGGGGTAGTTCCTACACCTGTCGTTCTAAGTTGCCATGCTGCCTTGTCAAAAATGCTGACTCTCCCTGGAGAGTATCTCTATGGTTTTCTATGCAAATCAGTATGTATGACACTTGT